TAAAATTTTTGATGGTTCAACTGGATCAACTATTGCTCCTTTATTTTTATTTGTAGTCAAGAAAGAGATAATGATTATATCATGATTAAATGATATATGATATATGATATTTAATTTTAATTGATTAATTGACTTACCTTAATTTGTCTTCTCATCAATAACCAAATAAGAATAGTTATCATCCAATACTAAAAAATAATTTAATATCCATCAAACATATATGGTAAAAATGATTTTTATCAAAAAATTTTATTGATATTTACCTGGAATGGGATTATTTTCATTTTGTTAGAAAAGCTCTTTTTAAAAGATTTTGAAAATTGTGTATGGTAATTTGTACATCAATTCCAAAAAAATAAAAATAAAAAAATAAACCTGATGAAAAAATCTTTTATAACAGTGATCATATGTTCTTTTAAATAATACTGCTGATGAAATCAATTTGTTTTTTCTCAACATTTCTTAAATTTCAAATCATGTTCCTTGTAACACAACAATTTTGAAAAGAACAAGTCCATCCAATTAATTTTTTATAGTGATGACAAAAAAGGTGTTGATGATGCCCTTTATCTTCAAAAGACAAACTCTCTCTAAAACTACGTGTCCTTCCATTTATTTACAAGATTTTGACTTTTTTCAATTTTATTATACTTTTCTATTACTATATATGTTTTATTAGCTAAAGATAATTCTAATTCAACAATAAAATGCACATAATTCAACCTCTTTTTATAAAGAAATTACATATCAAGTATTTGATTCAATTATCAACTGAATAGCTTTTAATTATAAGGAATTAAAGAAAGTTCAAACATACAATAAAGTAATATCTTATCACCTTCTACAAAATATCATTAAAAATTTTTTTGGGTTGTAAATTTTGTTTTTATTGTTTGATTTTTTCATACATCGTTCATGTTTTGTCTTAATCATTTATCTTCAATTGATTGTGTTTACAACCATTTTGTTGACATTCATTATATTAAGGTTATTTTGATTATATCGAGAGATATGGTCAAAGAGAAGAGTTAGGAAGAGAGTTATTCTTCAACCAGTTGAAAACCAACCCTTTAAATACATTTTCGAGTATACAATTAATTATTAATTTATTAGACTATTTCAAAGGTTTTTGCATGATTGCTTCCAATTTCTTAAATTCGTTAATGAAACAATTGTTGGTGAAATGATTGTTGACAAAATGACATTTATTTTATGTTTATCAAATTCACGATTTTGATTGGCCAATCAACAATTGCATGGGTTTAATTTTGTGTTACCAGAATGAGATAAACTCTTTGGTTACACTAAAAGGGTTTTTTAAGATAAGATTTCCTTATTTTCAACCAATCATGGGGGTTCTGGGTTGGGATTCGTGTAGCCGAGGTAGGTGGTCTCTTCGGTGGTAGTGGTGGTGACTTTTGTATATATATATTATGACGTTTTAGTACTACGATACACACATCTTTTTGGTTTATTACAAATTATTATTTTATACATAAGCAACAATAAATATTTTCTTTTTTTTTTTTTTAATTAAAAAATAACAAAAAAAACGAAAAATAAAAAAATAAAAAATTGTTTAATCAATCACGCCATGACAAATGGAGATTGTTCGACACTCAAGTCAAAGTAATCAAAGTAATACTTTGTCATCACCTCAAATGGTAATATAAATGTTATACAAATTTTGTTATTTCATGGAAAAGATATTAATGATGTAACATATAATTATTAGACGAAACGATCTTACACATACAATTCCATAATGCGGTTAGTTTATAAAATTTATATAAAGTTTATTTTTTATTTTCATCTATTAACATTTTTTAAAAATTTTCTAAAAGTAAAGCTTAAACAATATAGAAAATTGTTTAATTGATATGCAAAGATCACGGGATGAAGTAATGGCAAATATTGGAGATATTTTGGAAAAAGAAAAAAATAAATTTGTCCTAGTAATAATAAGTTTGTCTTTAATTATAATTGTAACAGAAATTGAAAATTTCACATTCTAATGATTATTAATATTGGTATAGCAAAGAGAGAAAGGTTCAAGTGCCTTACGACTTAGTAGTTATCAAAAAGAAATTGAAAATCAAAAAAAGGAATTAGACAATGGTACACTACTTATCTATAAAATATAAAATATTTACGTTTATGCATTATTATTTGCTTATTTGATTCATAATGTAAAAAGATTATAAACGTATAGCGTCATTACGTGATAATATTCGTTCACGTAGAGTTGCTTTAGAGGATGCCAAGAAGCGATATCAGAATGAAAATGAATATTTGGAGGAAAGCTACAAGATATTGGAACGAGATCGGTTGGTTTTGTTATAATTTTATTTGAGATTGGTGTTTGAAAATTATGTTTTTGCTTTTTATATAGAAGGTCGTATTGAATCGGGTTGATCTTATTAGCGAAGCTTTATTTGAAACCTCTACGCAATTATTTGCTCGTCGACGAGAATTGATTTCTGATTTGTCTAACATATATCCTTTGGAACATGTAATAAACATTTATCATTACATATTTACATACATACATACATATATATATACACACATGGATTTCAATTGATTTTGGTTTTGGTTTTTTAGGCTCCAGAAATATCGCCATTTTCATACAAAATATTTGGTATACTACTTCCAAATTCTGTATTTGATGGTAACTAAATAATTAGTTATATAAATTGATGTATAAATATATAAGTATATATTTAATGTTAATAATTATTAATATTCTAATGAATTAGGTTGTGATGAAGAAAAAATTGCTACAGCACTTGGATTTGCTGCACATTTTGTTCAAATGTTAGCATATTACCTAGATACTCCATTAAGATTTCCAATAACTCCTATGTCATCAAGATCCACAATTTTGGATCCAATAACAGTTTCTCTTATTACTTCAAGACAGTAAGTAAAATTGCTCCAAGTTGATTGTTTGAATATTTCTTACATTTTTCCAAATAAAGAGATGTAAGTATTTTATAAACAAAAAAGAAAAATGTATTTAGCATAATTAAAAAAAAAATATTGTGTGTATATCTATATATATCACATATCATATACTCTCTCAGGGATTATGTATCACATGAGACTCCCATAATACCATTGATTTGGTTTTTCAATTGGTTCATATCGAACTTTTGCCACTGGAAAGAATTTTGTTGTTTCTCTAGCAATCAACTTGGAGCACCGTAATTATCGATAATCAATTAATTTGTTTTATCTTTTTTTTCTGTGTTATTGATATGATAATTTTTATTTATGATTGTTATTGTTGTTATTGCTATTATTTTATTCATTTTTTGTTAATTAGATATCCTTTGTATTCAAAAGGAGTTGACCGCAATGGATTTGAATATGCTGTTTATTTACTTAATAAAAACATTGAACAAGTAAGTATGTTTGTTTAATAGACATACGCATATATGTATGAAATCATTAATTTAATTTATTAATTAATCACATTTTGTATTATTGTATTTTTTGGGGGTTGTAGTTGATGTATTCACAAGAATTATATTATCTAATGGATTTAAGGCATACACTTCCAAATTTAACTTACTTAAAATTAAGTCTATGTTCAACATCTACAAGTCAGATTTCACATCTACGTAAAACAATACCTCATAAATGTACCATTAATCATCCTTTCAATGAAATAAATTCAAGTAATAGCAAAAATAACAACGAAAATAACAATAGTGATAATGACGATAATAGTAATAGTAATAATAATAATAATAATAATAATAATAATAATAATAATAACATTGAAATTAACAACTCTAATTCTTCTTTGCCTGCATCAAATAATAATATCGTTTCCATATCAATAAGGAATGAAGGGTCATCATCAAAAGAATCATTAAACAACAACAATAATATATCAAAGGCAAAGATGGCTTCACATCAAAAAACAAATGCTGAATTTAGGTTAGGAGTGACATAAAAATAATTACTTACATGTACAATTTGGGAAAAAATTTTTTAAAGGTTGTTGATAAGGACTGTTTATTATTAATAATTATTATATATTTATATACACGATTTTTTACATTATTTTCAATTTGTTTGGGAAACTAATATGTATTTTTATGTAATATTACTATTGTATGATTAAATTAATTGATTAATTGATTAATTAATTACTAGGTAAATATATATAAATATATATATATTAACCAAATAATTATTAACGGGGAAGGAACTTTATAAAAAATTGTAAATTTTATTATTTACTTTCCAATTTTTAGATAAATATTTTGGATTTGCATAATCCAAAAAATGTTGGCGCCAATTTTTTATAAAAATTTCTATACGTGGCCAACGAATCCTTTTTTTTGATTCAATATCATCATCGTCATGTTTTGTTTCATCAAAAATTATTTCTTCCTCTTTACCATCATCATTCATTGATACATAATAATATTCTTTTAACAACTCATTTATCACAAATTGCGCATGATCCAACATTTTTTGGTCATCATGATGATATATTGGTAATGAAATTGCTTCTTCAAGAATTGATATTGATATTGGTGAATTTTGGTTCATACTTTTTTGATTTATTAAAGCTGGAGTATTATTGTTTTGATTCTGATCATAATACCAATCTAATACGATTTGTTCCAATTGCTCTACTCGTTCCTTTGGTATAAAAGAAAACCTTTTAGTAAGAAAATTGGCATTTGTTGAAATTTCAGTTTGGTAAGAAATTGCTTTTAATCTTTTTAATAATGTATTTGCAGCTTTTTTAACTTTGATATTTTCTTCAAGTCTAATCCTATCTTTAGGATCAACCTCTAAAGGTGGTGCATTAAATTCTTTGACGATTTGTTTTTTATAGCGTGTTACATGTTTTTCATAAGAAGAATGACATCCAAAACACAATAAAACAACATCGTGACTCTTTAAATTAACACACCCTCAAAATTAGTTAAATATTAATGAAAGGGACACGATGATAATATTACGATGATAATATTTTGATGATTATTTACCGAATGTGATTTGATTACTTCAGGCATTCGTTTACGGTACATATCTGGAACTGTTATTAATATTAATTATAATATCATTAATAATATAAAGAATGTTATTACTGCCTACCTACATGGTGTAAAGTTAACTTTTCGGTTTGAGCACAACAAACACAACGATCTAATTTATCCTCAAGATAATAATCATTCAAACCGTCATCACCTTCACCGTCATCACCATCATCACCGTCACTATCATCTTGTTCTTTTCCTTCCACTACATTTTGTTTTTTTTGAGCATAACCTAATCCCTTAGGTGTAAAGGTAAGTTGTATAGAATCATTAGATAATTGTTTGGCTAAATTACGTGTTAAATACCATAAACATTTTTTTCTTTACCCATATTTCAAATAGAGAGAGTCGTTAAAAATTTTTTTAATCGATAATTACAACGATTCTAATTATAGAGTATATTAAATACCTATTACAACGAAACATAAGTTCTCCTGTTTCCGAGTACACTTTACAATTCTCATAAACTTTGTTTTTACGATACGGCGTTGAAATCTTTGATCTTGTCTCTAAAGATGCTGCTGCTGATTTTAAATCATTACTGTTCGATTCCATTTTCAGTTGATGATCAATCAGATAATCTGATCACCAGAAAAATCTTGTATATATATAATAAAATGATTAACATTTTTACTTTTTTTTTTTGAAAAAAATTATCACAGCATGCAATTTTCTAGATATTCATATCAAGGATGAAAACAAATCTTTCTTTTGAGCGTTTTGCTTGAAAAGAAAGAAGAAAAAAAAAATATCTGTGATATATATTAAAATGAATGTGGATTCATAGTACACAAAGAAAAACTCCCTTCTTTTGTGTCTCCATATTGCCACAACATACATTGTTTAAAAAAAATTTAAAAATTTATTGAAGGTAAATTTTTCATCATGATTTTTATCCTTTCTAGAATAATCTCATTATCACATTCGATAGACGATGTTACGTATGGTGGCAAAACGTTTGCTCTATTCATTACATGAATTATTGGATCATCTTTATCGTATGTTATCTGTAATCGTTGCTATGATTTTTTTTTAGAAAATTAAAGAGAAAAAGTCAAAAAAAGCATGAAAATATTCATAGATTTTTTAAAAATCACTAACCGATTCAAATAAATTAATCAAGGCTTCTTTTCTTTTCTGTATCAATTCTGAATTGACATCGTAATGATCTGTTCGAGTTGTTACGATCGAATCCAAGATTTCCTTTGATAATCTGTTTTCTTTTTCGTTCACTTTTTTTACACCAATAAAGTTAATTGTTATACAAGATAAAGATCGTGGGAAAATTAAAGAAAGATTTCACACCTTGAAAATCTGATATGGCGTGATGCATTACGACCAAAACTTTGTGTTTAGAAGGAATTGAACTTTCTAGCAAATCTTCTTTATTAATCTGTTTATAAAAACAAAAGATTTATATTATCTAAAAAAAAAGGTGAAATTTTTTATTTTTCCTTTCTTTACCTTTAATAAAAATACACTAAAAGTTACTGGATCAATATTATACAAATATCCTTCGAAGACTTCATCGTTTTCTAATTTCACAGTTACAAACTTACCCAAAGACTCTTCGATTTGAAAGAAATCAAGATTTCCATATGGTGAAACTGGAAAATTGAATGTGGTGAATTTTGACATTTTGTTTGATTATAAACAATACTAAATTTTTTTTATTTCGGGAAAATTATTTTAATTGATCACCAGTGATCTAGCCGTAAAAATACACCTTCCAGGCAAGCTTAATATATTGGATTAATTTGGGTAAACTTCCCCAAATTTAAAAATAAATTTTTTTCTTGGCTATCCTTTTTTAAAATCACGTTCATAAACAAAATAATATTTATAAAAAATAACAACGACAATTATATTCTAAAAAGAATTTGCCAAGATAAGTCATTTCATATATAAATCAAAAAAAAAAAAGGATTTGCATCATCCTCTTAAATAATTTAAATAATTTATTAAAAAAAAAATTCCATATTTCTTTAAAAAATAATATTGCATTTATTAAAAAATGAGTGATAAAGGATTTACGAGTAATCAAGAATACCCTTCGCAACAACCCCAACAGGGTTATTATTATCCTCCGCCACCACCACCACCAAATTATCAACCTCAAAATACTAGTTATTATAATGCTCAACCACCTCCAGCACAACAAGGTAAGTTATTACGATATTAAATATATGTCAAATCTTGCAAATATTTAAAATTTGCGACTATTATTTTTTTTTGTTAATTACTAGGGTACTATCAACCAACACCACAACCACAACCAATTATCATTCAGCAACAACCCCCAAAACAGAGTAATACTAGTTCACTTTGTTTAGGATGGTAAATAACCAATTGATCGTTTTAATTGATTCTTTTTATTTAAATTTTAACTTTTTATTTTCTTATTTCTTGTTTTCTAGTGCAATAGGAACATTCCTTTGTTGTTGTTTTGATGAATGTTTTTAAAAAATAAGATCAATCATACTATTATTTAAATGTTATAATTATAAAATAAAAAATCATTTTTTATTAAAAAAACATTTCTAATTAAGAAGTCAAAAAAACAATCTCTATCAAGAAATCAAACCCCATTTTTTATCAAGAATTAAAAATTATTTTTATTAAAATAAAAGCACTTTTTAGAATCCAGGCGGAGATGTTCTCATTGTAACCTTTGTGAACTTTGGTACTTTATGAAATGATTTTGAAAATATTCATAGATTTTTTAAAAATCACTAACCGATTCAAATAAATTAATCAAGGCTTCTTTTCTTTTCTGTATCAATTCTGAATTGACATCGTAATGATCTGTTCGAGTTGTTACGATCGAATCCAAGATTTCCTTTGATAATCTGTTTTCTTTTTCGTTCACTTTTTTTACACCAATAAAGTTAATTGTTATACAAGATAAAGATCGTGGGAAAATTAAAGAAAGATTTCACACCTTGAAAATCTGATATGGCGTGATGCATTACGACCAAAACTTTGTGTTTAGAAGGAATTGAACTTTCTAGCAAATCTTCTTTATTAATCTGTTTATAAAAACAAAAGATTTATATTATCTAAAAAAAAAGGTGAAATTTTTTATTTTTCCTTTCTTTACCTTTAATAAAAATACACTAAAAGTTACTGGATCAATATTATACAAATATCCTTCGAAGACTTCATCGTTTTCTAATTTCACAGTTACAAACTTACCCAAAGACTCTTCGATTTGAAAGAAATCAAGATTTCCATATGGTGAAACTGGAAAATTGAATGTGGTGAATTTTGACATTTTGTTTGATTATAAACAATACTAAATTTTTTTTATTTCGGGAAAATTATTTTAATTGATCACCAGTGATCTAGCCGTAAAAATACACCTTCCAGGCAAGCTTAATATATTGGATTAATTTGGGTAAACTTCCCCAAATTTAAAAATAAATTTTTTTCTTGGCTATCCTTTTTTAAAATCACGTTCATAAACAAAATAATATTTATAAAAAATAACAACGACAATTATATTCTAAAAAGAATTTGCCAAGATAAGTCATTTCATATATAAATCAAAAAAAAAAAAGGATTTGCATCATCCTCTTAAATAATTTAAATAATTTATTAAAAAAAAAATTCCATATTTCTTTAAAAAAATAATATTGCATTTATTAAAAAATGAGTGATAAAGGATTTACGAGTAATCAAGAATACCCTTCGCAACAACCCCAACAGGGTTATTATTATCCTCCGCCACCACCACCACCAAATTATCAACCTCAAAATACTAGTTATTATAATGCTCAACCACCTCCAGCACAACAAGGTAAGTTATTACGATATTAAATATATGTCAAATCTTGCAAATATTTAAAATTTGCGACTATTATTTTTTTTTGTTAATTACTAGGGTACTATCAACCAACACCACAACCACAACCAATTATCATTCAGCAACAACCCCCAAAACAGAGTAATACTAGTTCACTTTGTTTAGGATGGTAAATAACCAATTGATCGTTTTAATTGATTCTTTTTATTTAAATTTTAACTTTTTATTTTCTTATTTCTTGTTTTCTAGTGCAATAGGAACATTCCTTTGTTGTTGTTTTGATGAATGTTTTTAAAAAATAAGATCAATCATACTATTATTTAAATGTTATAATTATAAAATAAAAAATCATTTTTTATTAAAAAAACATTTCTAATTAAGAAGTCAAAAAAACAATCTCTATCAAGAAATCAAACCCCATTTTTTATCAAGAATTAAAAATTATTTTTATTAAAATAAAAGCACTTTTTAGAATCCAGGCGGAGATGTTCTCATTGTAACCTTTGTGAACTTTGGTACTTTATGAAATGATTTTCTATAATGTTTCGAAGTTCTGCTAAAAACTGTATACTTATCTCTTGGTTTCATTTTTGATTCTTTTGGTAATTTCTTAAGTTCTTCCTATTTAATAACACATAACATAGCATATTATAGTTATAATAATAATAGTAGTAACAGCGACAGTTTTATTTTTTTAGAACATACCAATGCTTTACATTCTACACCTGATTTAACTAACACGCTTATTACTCTATCAACAGCTTTTAATCTTTTACGTACATTTGCTTTACGAGTTCTACTCATCTTTGATGGATTTTTCCTTGATTGAAAAAATATTTAAAAATTAAAGAGCAAAAAGAGTGTGCATATTAATTATATTAAAAAAAACCAACTATCTTCACCATAATAAACCACCAAGGGTGACCATGGTCGTTTTAAAAGCTCCAAACATTTTTTTAATCAAGTTTTTTTTTTGAAAGTTCTCCGTATCACATAATTTTACTCTTGTCATACATATATGCATAGATTTTTTATTTAATGTACGTCAAACCTCGTTATAACGAATTTTTGTTATAACGAACAAAATCTTATCCCTAATTTTTTTTCTTATTAACAGGTAAACCTTATTACACCAAAATCAGGAAGATCCAAATCCTCCCTATAGCTAATTGTGGCTTCATAGAAAGTCATCATTGCTGCTACTGCCACCAGTTAGACATATCCTGCCACAGTTAAAATGGCAGCAGAGAGGTCAGTAAGCTCCCCTTATAAATAGATCAGGTCTCTCTCCATAAGTGTTTGTGTGCAAAAAAATGTTTCTTATGTTCGGCAGCATTAACATCTTGATTCCAATGTGTCAGACAGACTGATTTGCAGACTCTGACAGACCAGAATTTTTGATGCTTATAAAACCACCCGTCACACAAAGAACAGACTGAGGAAGTACAGAACTCATCAATGTTCACCACCTTGCAGTGTCTAGAAAGCTCTCGGCGAAATTCTTTTACAGGGCCTGGAGCATGCCCACGTGATATTGATGAGAATTTACCATCACCAAATGCAACAACTGTACTGTCACCATTAATATTTGTTATTCTCTTGCACAGAATATCAAAGGCCTTCTGCTTATTAATAAAAGATCCTTTGTAGCATGGCTCTCCATTTGGCCCTTGACCTCCACACATTTGATTACAATGGTGTATTTGAAATTTAGTGATCAATTCATGTAATTCCTTTTTCTGTAACAGGGTCAGGGATATTAGCATGGATTGTATTCAAAGAGATCAATTCACTTGTCTTTCTTTCTGTGTAAGCAAAGCCATGTGTGTGAATTGTCCCACAATTTTGGGACTCATCCCTTTCAAAGTAATGTTCCCATTTTCCCCATTTTACTAATTCAGGATTCTTCCATAATTTATTTCTGATGTTTGTTAACCTATTTCGATAGTGCAGGTATGTGTGCAACGGATGATTACTTGGTAAAGCGTCTCCATTGTCAGTACAGCTCAAGATATGATGCAAGTGAGGCCATTTGCCTTCAGTCATAGTCAAAGTGTAAAAGATTTGGGGTAATCCATAGGCACTGATCATTGTGCTCACCTGAAGTTGTGGTGAGGTCCGCCGTGAAATGTTTGACTGTATTGTGGAATTAACTACTGTATATGTTTGAAGATATGATTACTATAGTGTCACACCAACACATCCAAATAAAAATTGATCAACTTTAAAGCTAGATAGGGAAATATTGAATGCTTATCTGAAAAAAATAGACAATATTTGATAGTTATTGACTAGTTCTACATCCATCGTAGAGATAATTAAAAAAAAATACTGGTTTCAGAGTTATGTGCTTTTAAAAAACCGTGTGGTTTTATGTTACATGTAAAAATTTCCAAATTTGACATTTAAAGTTTATCTGAATGGATTGTAGAATAGTCAATAGCTATCAAATATCGTCTATTTTTTTTTCAGACAAGCATTCAATATTTCCTCATTTAACTTTAAAGTTATTTGATGTGTTAGAGTGACCCGCACCATACTATTAATTAATTTGAATTGATAATATAATTAAAAAAGAATGTAGAAGTAATTTTTTTATTTCATTATTAATAATAGAAAAAAAAATTTAGAAATCACATTTAAATACCATTCAACCTGGTAATCCGTTTAATTATAGTAATAGTAACAAGTAATATGATCATTGGCCTAATATTATTGTTATTATTATAGGATTTTACAAAATCACCGCGGAAAATTATACATATACGTACATACACTGCTAAAATTTCTCGTACAGGTGTATGCCACAACAAACTCAATTATACGAAGATTCTTCTCGCAAAGCAAAATTGCACAACCATGGATTAAATAATCTATTAACATTAATAAATAAATTTATAGATTCTGACCATTTTCGGGACTTTAAGAGCACAATACTATTGAAAAAGATCATCCAAGCAAGCAATCTAGAAAAGATAAAAAAGAATATGCACCTCAAGGGATGTTTGTTTCTGACCAAATTTGTGATTTTTATCTGGTGTAAATCATGCAAAAAGTCATGTTGTGTTTTTAGCAAAAATGCATTGACTGAAAAAGAGCAACAAGATTTGGAAATTATGATATTGTACTTGTTAAAGTAAATTTGACATGTGGATCTCAAATACTTCAAAAATAAAGATATTTGTATTTTTGTGAAGAGAATGATTTAGCAGAGAAACCAGAAAATATAGTGCACCTTGTATATGCTATGTGTAAAGCATGTGAGGCAAGTGGGAGAAAATGGGAGTGTAAAATCAAAAGACAAGCAACATGTTTTATGTGATCACGTGCAAATAAAAAATTATATCTGTTCTACACCTAGAGACACCCTTAAGGATCGCACAGAGCTGCTTTTACGTTCAAAGAAGAGTAAGGAGTTTATCTGAGTACAGGTAACAACCTACATATTTATCAGCAAACTGTTTTTGCAGTGACTTCAACTACACATATTAGTCACACTCTGACAATAGTTCTTGATAAAAGGCAGGATAGCCTTGTTCTTTAAGCCTGCAGACAAGGTCTTAAATAAATTGACACAAGATTAGTCACTTATGTCATTTCTAGAGCGGGTGTGTCAATAATCCTCGCTATAAAAATGTTCAAAGATGCATTGGCGGACTCTACCATCATTCATTGAAAATGATGCATGTGTGTAAAAACGATGTTATCATTGATACTAGGGATTGGACACCAAATGGTGTGGCATAACTAGTATCTTAATAGCTCCTCAAAGTTGAAATTATTGGCAAGAAAAATTTTTTTGTATTTAAGTCAAAAGTTTACGTGATTTATGATTTAAATATCTTGAATTTGATTTCTATTTTATAAATAATTACATTAATTTTTTCTATATAAAACAAAACCAATTAATTAAACAAATAATAATCTAATTCTTTTAGACTGCAATCAATTGAATTCCAAGATTTTGTAAATACGGAACTAGAACAAATTTTCCAACAAAAAAAAAGATCATTCCAAATGTAATCGATATTGGTAATGCTGGAAGTGCTTTTTTATAAATCGATAACAAAAATATTGTTGTATTAAGTCCCTAAAATAAATATATATAAAATTTTATTAAGATCATTATTGAATATAAAAATATTAATTTGGATAATTAGATAATTACGGTAAGCACAGCAACTGAACAAGTTATTGTGGTGATCCAATCACTCATTGCTAAAATTCATTATTATACAGTATATATGTGTGTGTGTGTGTGTGTGTGTATATATAAATAAAATTCATTCATATCATTTGTTTCAATTAATCAATAATATAGTCCAATCATAAATATAAAAATTTACCAGCTCTTGCAACTAAAACGCTATAAAATACGAAATCACCTAAACCTAATTTAAGTCCGCTTTTTTGATCTAAAAATTCATTTTTAATTAATTAATTTATTTAGATCCAAGGATAATTTAACCTTTTATTACCTTCATCGTCTTTGTCATCAGTACCTTCATTATCACTTACTACCACCTGATTTATTTGTTGCCCTGGAGGCGGTTGTGGTGGTGATATTGATGATGGTTGTGAATTGTTGCCATCATCATTTGAATTTAAATGAGGGTTTTCATTATTATTATACCTTATATTTTCAGATAATGGAATTTCTTCACCACCAACTGAACTAGGTGCATTTCTTGTTTGAAATGATGATGATGTTGATGCTAATGAATCTCTTAATGACGCTATTGAACTCTTCATTTTTATTTTTGGTGTTGATAATGATGTTCTTGAGGGTGACGAAGTCAAGTTAATCTGGTTAGAAAGTCCTGGAGATGCCATAAACCAAACAGCATTAACTGTAATTATTAACATTCATATAGGTATAAGATGTATTAGTAGTTATTATGGTAAAATAATAGCAATATAGTTGATAATGATGATTGATACCAGAATATAATAGTGCAGGGATTTCTCGTTCATCATTTTTTGAACTTTCAATCAACATACGCAAAGGACCAAATGGACACAGCACAGCAATTAAATCTAATCAATAACAACTATAATTAATAAATAATATGCAAGGAATAAAGAATATCATCACAAAAGTGATTGATTTACCCCAAATTGCAAGTAATCCTAATAAAATCCATGTTGCCCATTCTGATAAACTTGTCAATGAAAATGCCTAAAATTAAAATTGTTTTTTGATATAACAATAAAATCAATTATTATTGTAATATTATTAACAATAAAAATAAAAATAATACCAAAATAATAATATACATTACCATTAAACTTGACATGATGGTCAAATAAATTTGTTGAAGTAACAAAGGACCTTTCCAAAAAACAGATATTAAACCCACTACTGCAAAATTCCATAATAAAAATGACAATGTAATATAATCTAATGGTATGAAAAAAACTGTAATTATACTCCTGTTTTTATTTTATAAATAAAATAAAAAATTTGCAATTAAAATTCAAGTCATGATTTAATATCTTTTAAAAATTTATAATATTAAAACTTACGATATTAAAATATAACCCATAAAAGCAAGAAGAAATAGAACCACCACCATAAAAAATCCTATTAGAATCTATTTTATAATAATAATAATAATAATTATTATTATTATTATTGGTCATTCAAAAGAAACTTTTTAAATGGTAAAGAACCTAGAATCCTCCAAATCAAACAAACCTTTACATGTCCATGCTTAAACAGGCACACAATAATAATAGTGAATACAATAATCTGTGCTATAATAATCGCTGCAGTCACAAACCCACTAAATATTAGTGTAGTTTCTGAAGCATCTGATGGTGTATTAAAAACCTTTTCTGCTCCATGTTGAACACTACAAAAAAATTTTTTCAACACAATATTAAATAATTTTCTTACTAGAATTGGAAAAATTGAAAAAAAAATTTGTTGCAACACCTCACCGAAATTCAGGTGTTTCCAATGATATCTTAACCCAAAGTACTGATAAAACAATACAACATACCACAGGCTTAATAATTCTATATACTTGTTCAATATAATATTTAATTTCTTCTATCTGATCTTCATCAAAAGGTAGAGATCCTGTGATAGATTGGTCATCAGCAGTAGTAACACCAGCAATATCAGAAGTAGCGACGGCCAAAGACTAAGCATAATTTTTTAATTTGTTTTAATGATTAGTAAAGCTACTTTTAAAATCATAAAGTTTATTCTATTCATTGAAGACATCAATTACATTATTTTGCCGACTTCCTTTTCTTTCTATGTGTGTGCGTATATATATTTGTGCATTTAATAAATTTAAGTTTTAATTTTGATTGAAAATAAAACACACATATATATATATATAAGAAAATATACTTTTAGCATTAATGATCTGTGCAGCATTTCCTCTTGTAAAAGTCCTATTAAGACTATTACTTCTTTTTACAACAATGTTGTTTCCCTCATGTTCAGTAACTACTGGCGACGATGACGACTCTATTGTCTTTTTACAAACATTAGAATGACCTTTGGTCCAATCTTCAGTTTGACAATTTTCTGAGCAGTAACGAGGTCCAATTTGACCACAAGCCATACATAAATATTGAGCCGGTTTCCCACAATTATTGCATGTTGTTAGCTCAGGTGCTTTTCCATTTTCTATTCCTACTACTTCTTCAGTTGTTGTTGTTGTTGTTGTTGTTGTTGTTTCAGTAGTAGTTGTGCCAGTTGTACATGTCGTTGCTTCAGCTGGCTCCTTAACTATAGTAGTATCAACTGTTGTCTCTAAAGACTGTTTATTTAATTTATTATCGTTGTTGTTGTTGTTGTCGTCGTCATCGTTGTTCCCCTCAGTCATATTTTGTATATTTTTTTCCTCCAAATGCAAAAGATATTTTCCAATTTTAGATTTATCCAAATACGCGATAAAAATATTGCTACAATTACAACTAAACTGCTTTAGTCTGTCTGATCTTTTTATTTTAAAAAAAAATTTATTTCTATAAACGACATAAAATTGACGATCTTTGGAAGTTAAAACAAAAGGGTATATTTACCGATTATTCGCCGATTATCTCGGTTAATCGGGTGTTGAAAATTTTCACCTCTATAACGAACCGAGAATTGGATCCGATTTTTTTTACTATTAGTCAAGCAATCACAGGACATTTCCCGCCGATCTATAGGAGGTTGTAAAACATAGTAAAATTTGGATAACCTGCATCATATATAGTTAAAATTTTATATATAATCGAATGTCTTCACACCAGTGTTTAATATTAAATTTCAATCAGGGCGTATTACGTTACACGGACTGTGTGCACATTTATTTTTTTTAAAAAAATATATATACTAAATTAATTATTTCTCCTTGGTTTTTTACTTTCCCAGTTCCAATATGCTTTTAAGAAATCAAAATCTTCAATTTTTGGACCATTTAATAAAATCATTAAGTGGTCATCTAATGTATTTAAATGCATTTTATTTCTCAAATTGTTTTTAATTAATTTCATTTGGGAAAATATTCTTTCCACATGAGCATTGGAAAGAGGTATAAGACTTGGGATCAACAGTTTTTCTAATATGTTGTATTTTAAGTTTTTCTATATCTTGATCATCAGACAAATCAATTATTTCAACTTCCATTGGAATATTTGAAATTTCACTAGAAAAATTGAAAAAATTATTTAATTGACGATTCGTGAATGAACCAGAGAAATTTAAGTAGGATCGGTGGGGCAAAAATGTAAAAAAATCGCCAATTGATAATGTTTAACAAATAATAAAGTACAATATTTTTGTCATACAAACCTTATTGTTTTTGTGTATGTATAAAGCAGATCTCATAGAATATTATATTAAAAAAACAAAAGGATTTGAATATTCCTTGAAAACTTTTATATGTTGGACATAGAGATTCGAGTAGTAAAAGATAAAAAAAATTTCTATAATTTTTAAATTTCAGCCAACGCTATTGGCTAATATTGTATGCCGTTTTGTTCTTATATACAATAATTAGACGCATTGTAAAGTTTTGGAAATATGTTCAATAAAACAAAAGCAGGTGTATAAAAGAGAAGTAAATTTTATTTATAACAATAATAAATATTATATATAATGAATTAAATTTCAGTCAACACTATTGGCTAATATTGTATGCCGTTTTGTTCTTATTATTATATACAATAATTAGACGCATTGTAAAGTTTTGGAAATATGTTCAATAAAACAAAAGCAGGTGTATAAAGAGAAGTAAATTTTATTTATAACAACAATAATAAATATTATATAATGAATAATAAAAAAAAGGGTAATATTATATACAGAAAGGTTCTTTTTATGAAATATACAGAACCTATGTGACAAATAAGGATTAATTCTTAGAGTTGGTAAACATTGTGTAATTCCTGCCACCCCCAGCCCACAAATTTAATCATCACGTCTGTGATATGTTGTTAGCTCAGGTGCTTTTCCATTTTCTATTCCTACTACTTCTTCAGTTGTTGTTGTTGTTGTTGTTGTTGTTGTTTCAGTAGTAGTTGTGCCAGTTGTACATGTCGTTGCTTCAGCTGGCTCCTTAACTATAGTAGTATCAACTGTTGTCTCTAAAGACTGTTTATTTAATTTATTATCGTTGTTGTTGTTGTTGTCGTCGTCATCGTTGTTCCCCTCAGTCATATTTTGTATATTTTTTTCCTCCAAATGCAAAAGATATTTTCCAATTTTAGATTTATCCAAATACGCGATAAAAATATTGCTACAATTACAACTAAACTGCTTTAGTCTGTCTGATCTTTTTATTTTAAAAAAAAATTTATTTCTATAAACGACATAAAATTGACGATCTTTGGAAGTTAAAACAAAAGGGTATATTTACCGATTATTCGCCGATTATCTCGGTTAATCGGGTGTTGAAAATTTTCACCTCTATAACGAACCGAGAATTGGCGATTTTTTTACATTTTTGCCCCACCGATCCTACTTAAATTTCTCTGGTTCATTCACGAATCGTCAATTAAATAATTTTTTCAATTTTTCTAGTGAAATTTCAAATATTCCAATGGAAGTTGAAATAATTGATTTGTCTGATGATCAAGATATAGAAAAACTTAAAATACAACATATTAGAAAAACTGTTGATCCCAAGTCTTATACCTCTTTCCAATGCTCATGTGGAAAGAATATTTTCCCAAATGAAATTAATTAAAAACAATTTGAGAAATAAAATGCATTTAAATACATTAGATGACCACTTAATGATTTTATTAAATGGTCCAAAAATTGAAGATTTTGATTTCTTAAAAGCATATTGGAACTGGGAAAGTAAAAAACCAAGGAGAAAAATAATAAATTTAGTATATATTTATTTAAAAAAATTAAATGTGCACACAGTCTGTGTAACGTGATATGCCCCAATTGAAATTTAAACACTGATAGGGCGGTTTTTAAGAAAAAGATTTTATTTAATTGAAAAGATAATTTGAAGTTTTATTTTTTAAATTAATAAGATGATTCCA